TCAGCATTGGCAGCAATAATAATTGGAAACATCTCATGACAGGACTAGAGCAAGCTCTATGTTGAGTCTCTCACCAGTCCCTCCTATTCAAGGAAGGATGGAAGTCCCACTAGAAATTAGTTTCCAGTTTCCTCTTCATCTTATATCCTACCACTCCTCTCTAACCCACTCTAACTCCATGAAGTTCCTGCTACACTAAACAACCCATGGTCACCCCAAACTCTTTCAAGTCTCCATGCTCTGCCTGCCATTTCTTGTGCCATGAAAACCATTTTCTCTCTTGCCCTGGTAAACTACCACTCATATTTTTCAGACACATCTCAAATGCCACCTCATGAGAACACTTCCTTGGTATCACTATCACTGTCAGTGACTTTTTGTTCTTCTCTCATAGCGTGCTGTGGACATTTTATTGAAAAACCATGAGATTACTAACTTATTCATTTATCTACCTCTTTTCCCAATAGACATGAGATGCCCAAGGAGATGGACCATGATAAATTCATTTTTATTGATCTTCATTCTTAGTACATAGGAAGCACTCAATAAATGTGTCTGGCTAGCTGAGTGTGTACATCATTGAATAGGTTGATCACTGGTATGGAGAACTCCAGGCCATTCTCTACCAAGCAGAAGTTTGACTTTAAATGGCAAAATAAGACAGTCTAATATTCAGAGGCTATGTGCTTATCATTAAGTATTGGAAACACTTTGCTATGTAAGTTGGGCAGGAATGAGAAAGGTGGTAGAAAGATGGGGTAAAAAGGCTCAGGGCAGCAGGAAGGAAAACATGGCCGGGAGTACACACAAGGATTGCCACCTCAGGCCACAGGAGATAGTGGTGGGACCAGCTCCAGGTAACCTATAAAAGGCTGGGCATAACCGTGGCCAAAGCTTCTCCAGGTCTTCCAGTATAAATTAGTAAGAAGTCCACCTACTTCACATGACACAAAGGTGGGCAGCAGCAACTCTGAGAGCAGTAACTGTCCAAATAGCAGCAGGAGACCCCCAGGCTCTGTAAATCAGCCTGACCAAATCTAATACTGAATTTGGTCTAAAGTGGTTCTGTGAATTATTCCCTACTGGTTAGACCTCAGAATGTAATAGTAGTAACTACTGGCACACTTATGTCCTGAACACATACTTGTCCTTTGTCAATACTCTTTACGTGCAATTTTAAACCTACAGGACAAAAAAGTCTACGGAAAAGTAAAATTTCCAACCTTCCTAAAATAAGTTTTTGCAGTTAAAACATTTCCTGTCATGGAAAGATCTTTGAGACATTTGCCATACGAATGAGGTTGCAGCTGTCGTTTGGTCTGAGGTGTCCCTTTTACAGGAATCCTTCCTTAAGTAAAGGGTTAGTGAAACCTCACTTGTGAACAGCCAGTTCATGAACTAAATCTACTGTTTCTCTATAACCTAGTATTATTATTTTATTCAAAGAATTTATGGTGTCTCCATTAAAAGTTAGGGACAGTGAAGGCAAGACAGAATGTATTTATCAAATCCTTCATCCAAACATATATTCATGCATTCGCACATGTCAACAGTATTTACTCTGTGCGAGGAGACTGTGTCCACCATGTCTGGCACCTAAAATACAGTCTCATAGGGGAAGAGAAATCCAGTTTTAAAATGACTGCATCATTTACCTTAAGAAACCATCGCCTTTCTTTTTCTTCATTTCTTCTCCTTACTTAACTCTCAGTAACTCCTTCTGGAGCCTAACATTCTCCTTTGCCTGGTTTCCCTCATCACAAATAATAGGTGATGCACAAGGTAATTTGATGAATTTTTCATAGAATAGAGCTCTCTGTGTAATGCAAGTAATTATCCTATGATTCAGCAATTTTGCACACACGAATTTTCATAAAATGGCCTACCCAATACTACAATGAAGCTCTTTTCCCAGGGAGTAAAGAAAGAACTGGGACATGCTGACACGGAGCCTGGATAATCCATTAGAAGAGGTGAGATGTTGCTTATATTCCTAAAAGTCCTTCTTCCCTGCTGATCTCTTCCCTCCTGTTTATTTTTGACAGATGTGTGGGAGTATATAGGTAACCTGGAAATGATTCACATGGAGTAAGGTCACAATTTATTGATATAGATCATTTTATTGGACCATTGATAGATAATCTCCTAGGGAAAAATAGCTTAGGGCTTTCTCTATCAATTCTGAATACTAATTCAACCTATATTCTTCAATTATAAAGAAATTTTATATTCTTTTAATTCACAAAACTTGTTTTTCTGTACTTTGTATAATCTTCCCAAACAAAATTACCCAAATGTTTCCTTGAAAAAAGATATTAGTAACATTTTATCATTAGAAATTTTCAAGTAGTTACTTAAAACACTGTAAATATCCTGTCCTTGAAATGCACCATATAAATATTGCATTTGATCCTTAACTTATACTTCATAAATAATTTATTGTAAAGATATTTCTCCATAAGACCTTCAGTTGCTGAGGTGTTCAGTTTTCAGGGAAAGCACTTATTTATTGCATAAGCCAAGAAAGGCTGGTAAAGACTTGGCTAAAAGCTCCACGTGGAGCGAATTATGGTAATTGTATTAATGCTCAAATCCAGGACACTTGTTCAATGCTCAAATCTGCTAAAAGGTTTTGTGCTATATTGCCTACATCTTGACGGGCAGTGAGGCCACTGGAAATGTTTAACACTTCACAGGGTGGCTTCCGAGATTCATTTTTCATAGTTCCAAGAATTGCTAAGCAATGTCTGGAGGTAGCTTCCAGAGGAGTTTCTGAAAGTCACAGCTGAGAGTAAACATCTGATTAAATGTCTTCTGCTTTGGGTTCAGACTGAACCATCTTGAGCTCAAATAATCAGAAATGAAAATCAAAGAAAACACCACACAATTAATTTTGATGAATATGCAAGTTTAAATACACATACAACAATATTCTGGTTAATGATATGTCTCCATAGGACATCCATTAAAAATCCATTAACATAACAGGGAAAATCTAATAAGTTACCCCGGAAATTTTCTGCTAGATTAACATGGAATTTTAATGAGTATTTCTTGTAGGTATTGCTTTATTAGCAGAACTAATATACTGATTACACATGTATGTTATGTGAGATAAGAAAGAAAAACACTAAAATAATTGGAAAGTCAGAGCTGAAGATGGGCCCATGTTGCCGAAGCTACTGCTGAGATACTAAATATCCCTATAGCTTTTAGAAGCAAGAAGTACCAACCTCCTACTGCCAGAAATCTCAATAATTAATTTATCCACTTACTTATCAAGCAGTAAGTTAGCAATATGCTATGCCTTCTGGTCTTACTAAGAATATGAAGTAAATCAGTGACAATCCTGTACCAAAGAGCTCAAAGTATAGTTTGGAATGAATACACATAAACAAGTAATCAAATCCCAAGGAAAGAACCAGACTTTTCCTCTTAATACCAGGTAGGGAAATGAATTTCAATTTTCATGTCTGTAAAATGAGAATAGTGAAACTAGAGGTTTGTGAGACCCAATAAGATAATGTACACAAATCACCTAGCAAAAGATCTGAAAGTAGCTGATGACTAAAGACTGTTGCTTTGCTTTCTTCCTCTCTTCCCTGATTGCAAGCTCCTCCTATTCCCTACCAACTCAGATCTTGAGATGATTTTATCAGAGCCACAGAAATTCAAGCACAGCTCTTTCTGTATAGAACCCTGGCTCCATTCTTTTACCCAGATTCATTTCTTAGTAGATGAAGAGATCATAGATAACATATCAGGATTATCATTCTTCATGTTTCCATTTGAACATTCATAGACTGTCATGAGGATTCCTCCAGAGAAAGGCAGACTGAACTACTATGGGATTTAGTTAACAAAAGTGGGCAGAAGTTGTAGCAGATAGGACCAGTTGTTCTCTATATTTAATAACACACTGCTCAAGGTTTACCAGTCATAGATGGACACATGGATACCCAACCAATGACTTCATTTCTCAAACTTCTGTGGTGTACTGGGGGCTTCTCAATGCAGGATGGTCAACAGGAAATGAACAGAAAGGGGTTATGTCACCTTCAAAAGAGCAGGCATGATTCGTTTGGACCTTTTATTCTTCGCCTCTGGCTGGGAACTGATCAGAGCTGAACTAGCTAACTTGGGCCCAAAGTTAGAGATCATGTTGAAGAATTGCACTAATATTCACTTATTTTTATTCTATTCCATGAAACAGAAATCATATTCTAACCTATCTAATCTTATTATTACAAAATCCTGACCTACACACTAACCAGTTCAACAGTGTTTCAAAATTTCCACTGAAATATGTATAATTGTTTACCCGATGACAGCTAACTAGAATTGTAAGTAGTAACTGCAGGAAATAAATGTGTTCTTATGACCTTAGAAGCTTTAAACTCTGAAACGTCACTATATGTGTCTACCATCTAAATGCTTTCACCAGGAAACAACTACTAATTACTCCACCTCTACCATCTACTAACTGCCATGTGAAACTGGGAGTCGGAGCCTGGAAAGACTTACATAGGAAGTATCAGTTCTCATTCTACTTCCCATCTTGTTCCTGATTCTTCTATTTTTGATCCTTCTATTTTATATTTTTTTCTTGTTCATAGCCTTCCCTTGTCCCCTGAAACTAACTCACAAAACAATTTTTCTACTACAGACTAGAAATGGCCCATATACATCCCCTTGATTATGCTAGACCCAGCTACTCCATGCAAAGATCCTCCTCAGTCTAGAACACCTTGTGGTTCTACATTTCAACACAGATTTTCATAGCATGCATTACCACCCAGTCAAGTAAGTCCTAACACAAGGGTCTACTGTCATTGTCTGCCCATCACAATGGGATCATTTTGGAAAACCCAATCTTGAAAAAAAACTGAGTTGTGTTCCTATAATTCAAACAAAAACCAAACCAAAACAAAAAAATCAATATCTTCATATATACACTTATACACACAAATGATCATTTTACATAATTTCTATTCTTTTACCTATTTTGCTGTAATTATCAGCAACAAAGTCCTCCAAACCAATCATCTTCCAGAAACTGTCATCCCAGCCTTTCTCTGCTGAGTATGTCCATTTGCACACCAGGGAACAGAGAGACCTAGAAAAATAAGAGAGATAGATCCAATGATATAAGCTAGGCTTCCTTTGTATTAACCAATACCTACTGAGATATCTGCAGAAGTATTGAGGAAGTGAAATAAACCAAGGTAAGTGGTGACGTATCCCTATTTAAGTCGAAGCTCTCCATGAACACATATTAATTACTACTAGCTCCCTCTTTCACTTTCAGAAGAATCTCAGTACTTTATTTATAAAATTTGTTATATCAACCCCTGATCAAACAAACTCTATAGAGGAATACTTTCATTTATATCTGTATTCATATAACACTTAGAGAAAATCAGAAATCACAACATTAATAAGTTGTTTGATTAATGTGAATTATGTTTTAGATACTATGTTGGTAATTTTAGTTGTGTTAAAAACTGTGTCTTAGCTGGGTATGGTGGTGTATGCCTCTTGTTTCATAAGTTGGAAGATTGAGACAGGAAATTGGTGCAAGTGCAAGCTCACCCTGGGCTACACAGTGACATCCTACCTCAAAAAATAAAACAAAAACTGTTTCTTATCATTTAAATAGATCACTATATAATGAAATATTTATATATGATGTGATATGATATATGAGATTTGTTTCAAAATAACATGAAAAGGGAAGGTAAGTGGCATTATAGTTAGGGCAAGATTGGCCTGGGAGTGTCCACTGTTATACTTTATCTACTATTGCACATATCAAATTTTTCTATAATAAAAAAGATTTTTAAAAAGCACCTGATATATAGTAAATAATGTAGTCATTCTAGTCTAGAAAATATGTATTAAGAGAAAGACTTCTAGCTTCAAGTCATCCTTAGTAGTCTATACTCCACCATAAAAATCATTTCCATCTACCTGAAAAAAGTCAACTCAAAGTCTTTGTTTAGCCTAGGTTGAGACTTCAGTTTTGAGTTAAATATCCCCTTTCTGATCTCCTGAAATAGGGGTATGTCTTACCTCATTGCCTCTATTGCACTATGTAATCATCGCTTCTTTATCTTCCTTATAGTCTCATTACCTTCCATCTGCCTTCCATAGTTTATTAAGATTAAACTTTATAAAATAAAATCCATTATTTCAACCCCTGATTAAACCCCTTCAACTGACATTCTATGGCATGGTCATGTGCAGCTCTGCTTCTTGTGCATGCACACCCTTGCCTCCTCTATTCTGCAATACTGAATCGTCTGAAATGCCCTCTAGCAGGCTTGGATGACTCACTACTCTCTCCTTCATTCTTTCTACCTTATCTTCACATTAAATACTTAACTCCTAGTCAGCTTTCACAAGCCAGCTTAGAGTATCTCTCTCTCTGGGAGAGCATGCTGAATCCAAAGCCCTTTCTCCCAGTGTCAATCTGGATATGTTCTTGTCTTATATTTAGTGCAGTAACAGCCTTGGTCCATTCATGTCTCTATCTCTCTTACTGAACCAGAAATACCTTTAGCACAAAACCAGTCCTATTCAACACCTAGTCTTGGATTATCAGTACTTAGTCTGATCAGGCTTATGCTGAGCCACATGAATGGCCATTGTATGAGAGCAACTGGAAAATATAACAGTGAGTGAAATAAATCAGACACAAACTTAAATACCATGTGATATCTCTCATTTGAGTAAGTCAAAGTACAAATGAAGAACATACTAAAGAATGAATAGAAGGAAACCAGGAGGCAGATCTCTGGAAGATGGGAAGGGTCTAGATCAAGAGTCGGGTGGGAGGAGTAAGAACAACAAAGATATGCTATGTGCAGGAACCTGCTAGCCTCAATTAATGTAAACATTATATTTCATAAAATGAGCTAAGAATAAAAATAACAGAAAAAATGAAAATGGGGAAAAGGGATTTAGACGTAGAGGCAGGGAGATGGGTGGGAAGGAGAAGGGGATTAAAAATAGAAACAAGCTACATTATGTACCCACTCTCCAATATGAATATAAACTTCACGTACTAATCAAAAAGTATAGATTGTCCATTTTGCCAGAGGTCAAAGGTAAATCTGGCGATGGAAAGCCATACAGTTTTAAAGGTAAACCAAAACCTATTTCATAGGGTCAAGAGTCTAGATGCATCTCACTCAGATATTCACATAGATTCACTTGCTCACTTAATATTTAGTATCCCATTACTATGGTAGACTCTATGGGGAAATTATATATACACTTCCTGGTCCTCTGATTTCACAGAAGTTGAAAATTTAACTCAGGAGAGAGACAGGTATTCTGAAGGAAGCAGAGAGAGAAATGAGAGCTTTTAGCAGGAGACTCTGCTGTAGTCTGGTAGCAAGGTGAGGTGCTGGGGGACGTCGTGTCAAAAAGGGTTGCACAGAGGGAGTGACATTTATTGAGGACTATCCTGAAAGTAAGCAAATAGTATTTATTCTCAATGATTTTTTCAGATGTGGAACAGATTGCAGAACACAGTTACGGTTTAACATAGAATTCTCCCAAAGGCTCATGTATTCAGGGGTGGGGCTTTGGAAGGTTACTGGATCATGGGAGCGCTACACGTATTCATCAGTAGATTCATCCACAGAGAGTTTAATAGATGAATGCACTTTTAGGAGCTGGGGCCTGGTTGGAGATGGGTCACTGGGGGGTGTGACCTGGAAGGGAATATTCTTTTTCCCAGCTGATCTCTTTATTTTCTACTTTGTAGCCACCACAATGTGAGTCATTTTTTGACTGCCATGCCTCTCTGCCAGCCAATCGTGGTCCAAAACCATGAGCTAAAAGTTCCTCTTTTAAATTGTGAGTATCAGGTATTTTGTCTCACTAATGAGCAAGCATCACACTGAACTAAATGGCACTGATAGCGTTAGAGTGCATCACTCTCCTCCTGCCCCCTGTACTGTCAGAAGGGCCTCCTTTCTTGGCTCTGAACTTTGATTCTGATAAATGACTGGATTTAGCCAAAAGAATGAAGCAGAAGTGACTGCATGCCAGTTCCTAGGCTAAGCCCCAACATGCTTTATGTGCCTCTGCTTGCTTTCTTGCATGTCTAACACTGCCATGAGAAGATCATGCAGGGTTAGCTCACTGGTCCGACCAGGACGATCAGATATATGGAGCCAAACCCAATCTGAATAAGACATCCCTACATCATCTTCAATCAACTTGGATTAGGCAGATTAGACTCTAGTGAGTGGGGTCAGCTGAGGTTTAAAGAACTACCCACAAGACCAAAGACTACATAAGCCACCTGTGAACCAAAGAAATGATTATTGGGTTAAACTCAGCACTGGCTGTAGTTTATAATGAACCCTTCACAGCATAAGTAGATTAGTACAAGGAGATTTTTATCCCCAATGTCTCACTCTTCACACAAGATTAGAATAAGTGGCCAAAGTGTGCTCTTGAGTGATGATGATCAAACTTAGGAGGCAAGAAACATTATGGCACACATACCTCTGGAAACTCTATTTTCCACATGGGCTGTTAAAGAGCACTAAAGTCCATTTCATTTGAGTCTCTTTAAATCAAACTGATGGGTAACTTAGATGTATGGATGTGCTTTAAGTAGCAGATTTAGGAAGTTTTAGAGAATGCATCTGAGACCACAGATTCTCTGGAAATCTCTAGATGAGAGAAAAAGTAGAAGACTTTGTTTATCTTGTTTGTGAATAAAGGTAAGGTACTAGTGGCATAATGAAAAGTTTGCTCCAGCTTGAGTCTTCTATTAAAAATCAGGGTTTTGACATTCTCTGAAGCATTTTACTGAGCAAGCTGCCCTCCCAAGAGAGCTCTCTATCTTCAGACAAGCTACACCCACATTCAGTCTTCAAGCTGCCCAATTTTCAGTCTCTCCTTCGTCAGGAGGTTGTAGGAGTAGAATTACACATCAGGGCCACAGAGAGCCAGGGCCTGCTTTAGCTGGATGATTTCTTTCCAAGATCAGTGGCCTGAGAGGACATGCTCCTGCTGCCCCAGGAAGCTCTGAGAGCAGAGAGTGGTCCACTTCATGTTGGCCAGTTCAGTCACTGCTAGCCAGATTGTCTGGGTAGGAAGTACTGTGCCTTTTGCTGCTTTCAGATCTGTTAATGACAAATACCTACATAAACACCTATATAAGGATCAGAAGAGAGATCCATGATTAGGCAGAACAAAAACAATATATAACTTAGGGAGACAGATTCTTCTGAGGGTAGATCACGTAGGACATTGATTGGTAACAGGCAGGTCCTTACTTAAGTAGAAATGATTAAAATGGTAGAAGAATAGATCAATGATGATAGCAATGAGACAACAAGAAAAGAATGCAAGAAAGACATTCTGAAACTAAGAACACTGATTTTAATTTTAATTTTAAATTTAAAGTAGCCACAGAGGAACTAAAAATAAACATCACTGGCGCTGATAAAAACCCAATGAATGCTCTGGAAGAATAAGTAAATGAAGAATCTTCCCATGAGGAGCAAAGACACGAAGAGAATAATAATGGAGGAAGGAATAAGAGGCTCAGGGACAGATCCTTACCCTAACATAAGAATAACAGGAATTCCAGAGAGATTTTTTAAAAAGAAGAAAAAATACAACAGATGAGGGAGATATTATAAGTAAATGAATACAGTACTAGGTATTTTATTATACTGAGCTGAAGTTAAACTTAAGCCTATACATTGAAAGTCTCATGAAGTCCAGGAAGTAAATCAAGGAAATACTTGAATTTCAAGAGTCAACAGAAAATCATATAGCTTTCAGACAGAAAGAATAAGTTACTTACAAAGGCAAGAGATTCAGCATAACTAAGGAATTCTCATCTACAACTCTGGAATGTAGAAGATATTGGAATAATGTACAGACCTTTAAGTAAAACTGATTCATGAATTGTATGCCCCCCCCCCCCGCAAATACTATTCAGTTATCAGGGAGAAAAAGAAAGATATTTTCAACATAAAAGGATTTAAAAAGCAAACTTTCCACATATGCTCTCTAAGGACGATTCTTGAGAAAAAAACAGCCAAATACCAACTCATTCAGAGCAAGACCTCAACACTCAGG